CAGGAAGCTGGGGATGCAGGGCCTTGTATCCCCCACACTCCGTGACACCCAGTACCCGTGTATTACTGGGGGGCGTGAAAGAGCCTGACTGGTTCAGTCTGAATGCCAGCCTGGCCCTGCTGCCATAGCCCCATCCCAACACCAGCTCTGAGATCTCCACTTCCTGCCCCTCAGGCGAACCCGGCCATGACATTGCAGCCCCCATGGAGCCCTATGGGACCCCATAACCATCCACCTCTGGTCCCACCACTCCCAAGCCTGCCTCAGCTGCCCTGTGATGGATGCGTAACCAACCATCAGGAGGCACTGGTGCAACATGGTGCTCACAGGTGGGGGCTGGGTACTGGGGATTGACCCTGGGGTCTGAATCCACCGGTTCCTACAGCCTGACCCATGGCGGGTGGTGCTGGTCGGAGGCACACCTCTTCATGTGGCCTGGCATGGCTGGTGGGGGGGGGATGAGGGCCATGCGGGGGAGTGGGGCTCACACTGGTAATCTAACATGCCCCGTGACACCATCTCTGATGTTGGCCACTCTGGGACCAGCCGGGCTGCAGGGGTGAATGGAGGTGAATGGGGGAGGGGTAGGGGGCACTGACTCACTGGTGGCAGGGCCCCATCTCTGGGCTCCCTGGCAAAGGAGCTGGGGGGGAGTCTCATCTGGGCTGTCTCTTTCCCTCTTTCCCATCCCATTCTGTCCATCTACTCCAGAGATGCCCCCTGACCCTGGCTTGCTCTGGCTCCCCCACACCCCGTGTACGTCCAAGGGGAGCGGGTAACCCTACGGTGCTCGGCTCCCTGGGGCGAGGGGGTGGCCAGGTACAGATTCTACAGGCAGCCAGGGGAGCTGATCGCTGATGGGGTCCCTGAGCCGACTGGGGGTGCCCGGCTGGAGCTCAGGGCTCAGATGGGGATGGACGGGCTGTACGTCTGTGTGTACTGGACACTGCGCTTCAGGTGAGAGGTGCCATCTGGGGAGAACTGACCTGTCACGGTGTCCGTGACAGGTGAGCTTAGTGTGGTCTCTGATATCCCTCCCCCTGCACTGCCACACCCCCCTCTGTCTGCACCCTGTGCCCTGTCCCCCTGCACCCCGTTCCCCTGCACCCCTGAACCACATCATCCCTGCACCCCATACCCCAGCCCCTTTCACCCCAGCCCCTGGTGCCCCTGCACCCTGTCTCCCTGCACCCCATCTCCCAAGCCCCTGCACGCCACACCCTGGAGTGTCTGGTGGGAATTGTCCCCCATTAAGGCCCATCGATCCCCAGTGCGGCCGGGTCTGGAGGGAAGGTGACCCCATTGGGCTCCCAGGGGCTGGCCAATCTCAGTTGGAAGCCTGACTCTGGTTCTGGGCACCCATGTTGGGAGATGCTGGATCCCAGCTGGAGCAGGGACACGGAAGGGCTGGGGGGCACCCAGAGGCATGGGGAGTCAGTCCTACCAGAGAGGACTCAGGGAGCTGGGCTGGTTCAGCCCAATTGCCAGCCGCGCGGAATCTGATGGTGCCTGCTCCCATTCAGGGAGGGGTTGGGGAGGTGCCAAGCAATGGAAGCCAAAGGAGGCAGGAGAACATAGGGATGAGCCGGGCTTGGCTCGCTGGAGGCTGGTGATGGGGAGAAGGTTTCTGACCATGGGGGTGGGATGCCCTGGGATATCCTCTGGCAGAGGTGGGGAACTGGGGGCAAAGACCCAACCATCCCCAGCTCCCCCCGGGCAACTTGTATGAGACGCCGCAACTTGGCGGACGGGTCTTGAAGCCAATGGCACCAGAAATGCCACCCAGTCCTTCTCCTTCATCTGTGTGCAGCTGATCCAGGGGAGGGAAGTACTCTCCTATTCCAGTGACCCTGCCTCCATCTCCGTGTTCCCAGTGCCGGCCACCCCATCCCTGCAGTTCAGTCTGTCCAACCCACTCTACATGATGAGGGAGATGGTGACGGCCGAGTGTATCATCCCTGCTGGGTCCTACATCCCCCAGGTCACCTAAGTGCTGTGAGATGGGGAGTCTGGGCCTTGGCTTGTCCTGAATGTCACCCCCAGTGACCATGGGACCTACCGGTGTGGGTGCAGCTCAGAGCTCCATGGGCGCCACCTCCGCTCACCCCCACAGTGCCTGTTCTACATTATAGACAGACCTCCCCTGCCCCCTGCTACCTTACTGCCCATTATACAGTACAACCGCCCCTTCCCCACCTCCACCCTCTGCTGTCCGTAGTGCCCATTATACAGCATAGCTGCCAGTTCCCCGCCCCCACCCACTGCTGCCCCTAGTGTCCTCTTCCTCACACTGAGTGTTGTGGTTCCCCTGTTGACCCCTCTCTGTTGCTGCTACCCTCATCCCCCTCCCGAACCACTACTGAGCATGGATCCCCCATCCAGAGTGGTGAGTGAGGGGCTCCCCCTGCTGATCACCTGTGCAGCCCCCAGGAATGCCAGCGAGAGGAGATTTCAGTTCTACAAGCACGGAACTGAGATCATTCCCATGGACATTGGTTCTGAGATCAGCACCATGGAGCCCAGCACTGGCTTTGTGCTCAGCATCCCACGGGCTGGTCCCAACAGCACTGGGGAATTCACCTGCGGGTATGAGGAGAACATGAGCAGGAGATGGATCCCGTCCACCAGGAGCCAAGCTCTGACTGTCACTGGGAATGTCACAGAGACAGGTGAACTCATGGTCTCCAGCCCTATCCCACATAATCCCTCTATATCTGGCTTCCTGGAGAGTGGCATGTCTGGATCCCAGTACCCCTCCTGGGGAAGAGTCATAGTGCTGAAGGCCAGAAGGGTCCCTGGGATTGTGTAATCAGATCTTCTGTATAACACAGGCCACCACCTTTGTTGGATACGCAGAGAGGGAAGGAGCCTGACTGGGGGCTGGAGAGGTGCAGTTGACCCCTACCAAGTCAAGCAGTGGGAGTCATCTCCAGCTGGCCGTATCTTGGAGAGATCCCAATGCGCCTGAAATTTCAGGAGCGATTCCCCTCAGTCCACAGCCCAGGGCATCGCTTTCCCATTGGCCATAGACCTTGCAATGGGAGGCTCCTTCTTTGTCATCAATGCCCTCATCTTCCTCGTCACCCACCGCTGCCTTTAGAGTGAAGGTAGGTGTCCCATTCAAGGCCAGGCAGCCTCTTGGTGCCATGTCATTGATTTTCAAGTGCCTGGTGCTTTATGCAGAGAGCCAAGAGGTAAGAAAGGAGGGGACGTATCACCTGAAAGGGGAGGATAAAGACTTGGGTGCATTGGTTGATCACAGGATGACTATGAGCCACCAATGTGAAGTGGCCATGAAAAAGGCTAATGCAGTCCTAGGATGCATCAGGCGAGGAATTTCCAGTAGAGACAGGGAGGTGTTAGCACCATTATATAAGGCACTGGTGAGACCTCATCTATAATACTGTGTCGCTCATGTTTAAGAAAGAAGAATTAAAACGGGAACAGGTGTGGAGAAGGGTTATTAGGATAATCTGAGGAATGGAAAACCTGCCTTATGGGAAGAGACTCAAAGAGCTTCTCTTGTTTAGCCTAACCAAAAGAAGGCTGAGGGGTGATAGGATTGCTCTCTATAAATACATCAGAGGGATAAATACCAGGGCAGGAGAGGAGTTATTTAAGGTAAGTACCAATGTGGACACAAGAACAAATGGATCTAAACTGGCCATCAACAAGTTTAGGCTTGAAATTAGGTGAAGTTTTCTAACCATCAGAGGAGTCAAGTTCTGGAACAGCCTCACAAGGGGAGCAGTGGGGGCAAAAAACCTAACTGGCTTCAAGAATGAGCTTGATAAGTTTATGGAGAGGATTGTATGATGGCGCTGCCTACAATGGCATGTGGCCGATCTGCGACTGCTAGCAGCAAATATCTCCAATGGCTGGTGATGGGACATTAGATGGGGAGAGCTCTAAGTTACTACAGAACATTGTTTTCCAGGTGTCTGGCTGCTGGGTCTTGCTCACCTGGTCAGGGTCTAACTGATCTCCATATTTGGGGTTGGGAAGGCCACCGGGTCAGACTGGCAGAGACCCTGAAGTTTTTCACTTCCTCTGCAGCGTGGGGCATGGGTCACTTGCAGGTTTTAATTAGTATAAATGGGGGATTCTCTGTAACTTGAAGTCTTTAAACCATGATTTGAGGATGTCGGTAACTCAGTCAGAGGTGAGGGGTCTATTATAGGAGTGCGTGCGTGAGGTTCTCTGGCCTGCAATGTGCAGGAGGTCAGACTAGATGATCATGATGGTCCCTTCTGACCTTAAAGTTCATGAGTCTCTCAGTCGTGGGAGTTGCAGCCAGGGCTGTGCCCGGCGGGGTGGGGGCTGGAGGCAGAAGGGTTTTGCCTGAATGTGGAAGCGGGGTGCAGAGCAGAGGTTGGAGGGGAGGGAGCTGGGATCTCAGCAACAAAGCAGTGGGTGTGGCACATCCCAAAGGGACATGGTGCAGAGGGACTTTTCAGAAGTTGCAGCATCAGACTCACAACTGGGTCGACGCCTTTTCATTGCTGTCATGTCTCTGTTGCAGGTTCCCCCAGGCGCCCGGAGCCCAGAAAAAAAGTTTTGTTTTTCCCCAGGATCTCTCCTTTGGCTCTTTGCATTTTGGATCTGTCTCTCCACAGGGGTTGTCCCTGCTACAGACCCCACAACAGCTGCCTGGCCTGGTTGAACCTTCCATTCGGTCTCCCCTTGATGTGATCACCAATCACCCATGGGCAGCTCCCTCCAACTCCCCTAGGTGGGAAGGATGTCCTTCTCCTCCCAGCAACAGAACTGTGCAGTTTGCAACAGAAACTCTCATGCCTTTCTAATTACAATTGAGTTTATTCTCTATCCTTGGAGAATGAATGTTAATGGAACAGCAAATGCAGTGAAAGGAAGAGACAGTGAGAAAGCTTAAGAATAGTAGGAAGTGTGTGTTGTGTGTGTGTGTGTGTGTGTGTCCTCGCTGCCCCCTGCTGGAGGGGACGAGGACCGTGCTCTGTGTGTGTGTGTGTGTGTGTGTGTGTGTGCGTGTCCCTGCTGACTCCTGCTGGTGGGGTTGGGCCCTGCTCCGTGTGTGTATGAGGGCAGTTGGATGATTGGCCACAGGCGGAGACGCCCAGGCTGGGGTGTCTGAGCCCTGATTGTTAAAGGGCCCCTGATTTGGATTTCTGTTTCTCTCCATGCTCCTCACCAAGTTGCTCCCCATACGTGCCGGGGAATCCCCTCATGGCACAGCACCTCTTTCGTTCCCGAGGCTCCATTCTGCTTCCCTGGTGCTCAGGGCGTCACAGAGGAGGGGACTGTCCGGAGTGTGTACACATCGGAGCCCTGGGGAGGAAGAGACAGAGTGAATGGGGCAGCGGGGGAGCCATGGAGGGGAGAGGCCAATTCACAGTTCCCCTCAAAGGGACGCTAATGAGATATCAAACCAGCCCCTCAACCTGAACACAATCATTAACCATCCCCTGATACTTCCCCCCCATGAGTCACGTTGTGAACCCCGGTGTCCCACCCTCACCCCTTCTCTTATCCCATTCTGCCCTGCTCTGTTGAGTACGGGACGCTGTGTGTCACCCCCTGCTTTGTGGCTGTTCCACAACTGCTCTCAGTTTCTAACACCCCAATCTCTGCAGAAAGGGGAGTTAATGAGACACAGAATTACCTCCCTCATTCATTGATGTTCCCTCAGAACTTCCCCCACACACAACCGCGGCGTGAACCCAGGTGTCCTAAGCACATCCCCAAATCAGCTGATCTATCCTGCCTCTCTGAACCCCACCTGCGGTGTCTATTGGATGTCTACAGGGTTCTCCTTCACTTCCTGTCCCAAAGTGCTGCTCAGTGTGACTATGGTGAGGGTGGAACAGAAGGGAACTGATGGAGCTGTGGAATTTTGCATATTTTAGCCCCCATGGTTACAGCCCCAGCAGGAATGGCAGGTTGATGGAGCTAATCTGCGTTTCAGTTTCTCTCATTCTCCCCCGCCCAGTTTATTTTCTCTGCAAGGAATTTTCAGGCTAAAGGAGGCTCTGGATTGTGGAGGAGTTTGAAACTCTGTTGTTAAGAGATCCCTGTTACCTCTCCCGGTAGGTCCACTCTGACACTGCTGGGTTTCAATTCCTCATGGCACCTCCTGGAGTCCAGTTCCCCATCACCTTTCCCGGGCTCAGATCCCCTCAGATATTGCGAAGGCTCCGGAACTAAACCGCAGATAGACAGAGCGTGGTGAGAGAACTGCCTGACCGGGGGCCTGGGGTTCAGATTTCATTGGTTCACTTTTGTTGAACAGACTAAACATAGACCCCCGAAGTTAGGAGACTCTTGAGGTTTTTGAAATCTTTTCCCTCATTCCCTAAACTTAACCCGAACCCAGGACCTTCATATTAACTCTAGTACTGAAATTTAATCCCGTCAGCTTTTCTTAACATTCATTTTAGCAGTTGGCTCTAATTTCTAAACTTTTTCTTAGCACTAACTGGAACAGCTGCTCCTTTCCATAGGGAATTTTATCATAACACTTACATTTCAAACTAACCTTAACCACTTGATCAGATATTAACCTTTATCATAATCCTAAAAGCTAACATTAACCATACTGCTGCCATCTACATGTAGCCCTGAGTTTAGCACTAACCCCTAACCTTTACCCTAACCATAACCTTATCCTCTAACCTCAAAGTTATTTATAAATATCTACTGGGGAACAAATATTTAATAGTTGTCTCTTCAGTCTAGCAGAGAAAGGGCTAACCTGAGACAAGGGCTGGAAGTGGAAGCTAGACACATTCAGACTGGAAATAAGGCGTACATTTGTCATGGTGAGAGGAACTAACCACTGGAATAATTTGCCAAGGGGCATGGTGGATTCTCCATCACTGACAATTTTAAAAACAAGATGGGATATTTTCCTAAAAGCTCTGCTCTAGGAATTATTTGGGGGAAGTTTTCTGGCCTATGTTATGCAGGGGGTCAGATTAGAATATCAATGTCTCTTCCAGTCTTGGAATCAATGAATCTATGAACCTAAACGTAAGATCTAAATCTATTTGTAACCCTAAAATCCAATATTAACCTTTATCCTAATCTTAACCCTAACATCTAACCCTAGTCCTAATTCCTGATTTTAATCCTAACCCCTAGCCTTTATTATACCCATAGTCTTTATCCTGTCCATAACCTTTATCCCAACCCTAACCATAACCCCTAACAAGACCCTCCCCTACCCCAGAGGTGGCATCTCAGGGTGGCAGGAGAGATGCTTACCTGCAGGTGGGACCAGCCGTGGGACAGTCGGGAGTCAAGCTGCACGGGAGAGGAGAACAGGTCAGAGACCCCGGAGATAGGACACGGGAATGGAAGAGGAAGGGAGATCGTTAAGGGGGGGACGATGTTACAGGGGGCTAGCATGGGGGCGGGAAGAACTATGGAGATGGGGTACAGCCGATCTTGGGAGGAAAGACAAACGGCTGTCATGAGCCAGGGTCACCCTGCCCAGGAATCTCAAGTAACGCTGCTGCTGGATTCGAGAGGAGACATCTCGCCTGTGGGGAGGGGAGGGGGTTGGGGGGGACCCCCAATGATCCCCACCCACTGGCACTTTCAAACCCGCAGTGGGATGAGAGGGGAGTGCGCCCCCCAACCAACACACATCTCTGGCAAGGGCCTCTTAGCAAGGACAGGAGACGTCGCTCCCGGCTGGGGACAGTTATGGTGAGCAGACATCCCGACGGGACACCCCGATAGTAGGGGGCTTGTCTTATATAGAGAACTATATTGTGCACCGTGAAAAAAAGTGTAATGATTTTTCACACAAGCTAGCTGGTCACCCTACTTTGAGCAGGTGGTTGGACTAGATGACCTCCTAAGGCTCTGATGCAACTGCCCCAAGGGGCCTTCCCTGAGGGATGGGAGGACCCCCCCTTCTGCCTCCCAGAGGCAACCAGAGAGGGAAGTATCCCTGGCCCCCTCACCTGTGAAGCTTGGACATTGGTAACCCCCTCTTACTTATTTGGTTTGGAATTCCCCACTATGGGAAAGCCTTGGATTAAACTTACCCATTCGGGGATGAGAGGAATTGGCCCAGGGAGGACAGCCTTAAGCAGCCTTGGTTGCCAGACAACAGGTAGGTCAAAGGGCCGTGGGTTGGAGCCTGGTGGAATGGGGGGGCCCTCCCCACACTCTCCTTGGCAGTCAGGGGTTGTGGCTGTGACCAATAGGCCACGCTCCCAAACCGAGTGAGGACCATTATGGGGTGAGAGCTCCTGGGCAGGGATGGGGGTGGAGAGGGATGGAGGGATGGGGTCGGGGGGATCTCTGAATAGATAGACAGAGGGATGGGGGCCGAGGGAGGCCACTTACCCAGCACTGGCAGAAGGAGAGTTAGCGCCATGCGGAGCCGGTTGCTCTGGGGTGGGAGCTGGGTTCTTAGCTCAGCTAGTGGCCCCGTCTCTGCTTCGCTCAGAAAAGTGACAAACACAGGAAGTGCAGTGTCAGCCCCCAGCCATGGCTCCCCCAGCCGAGGGAGACGGCCCCCTTTGTGGCTGGGCATTCAGCAGCACCTCTGTATTCACAGGAAATGAGGCGGCAAAGGGAGCCGGCTGCAGCTGTGCTGTGGGCTTGGCTCCCGGACATCTTTTGTAACTGCAACCCCAAGCGGGGGGCAAAGAAGGCCCCTGCTGCTCACACAGGGCTTTTGTTTCAAAGTGTCGAGTCGCCTGGAGCAGAAGGCAGCTGGGGCCTAAGACAGAACCGATTCCAATCCTCTCCCATAGACCTGCCCTGGGGCTGGATCGGAGCCAGCGCTCCCTAGCGGGAAAGGCCCCATGTCCATTCCCTACCATCCTGAGCCAGCCAGTCCCTGCTCTGGGGCTGGTTGGGAGTCGGCCCCCCCCCCCAGAGAGGCAAGGTTCCATATTCTGTTCCTGTCTCACCTGAACCAGTTAGTCAGTGTCCCCGATACGGGGCCGGACTCGAATCCACCGCAGTGCTTGTTAAAAACAATGCACACTCATTTATCCCCACTGATCTTTGCAATTTACGGGGCTAAATGCTGAAAACCTTTCTCAGGTCTGGAACACAACCTAGCAATCCTGGTTGTGAGCCCCTCTCTGTTCTAACCCACTAGACACTACTTCCCTCCCAGAGCTAGGGATAGAACCCAGGAGTCCTGAGTACCAGCTCCCCAATCTCTAAACACTGGACCCCACTCCCCTCTCAGATTGAGGGACAGAACCCAGGAGTCCTGGCTCCCAGTCCCCCACAACCCCCTAGACCCCACTCCCCTCTTGCGCCTTGGAGAACCCCTGAGGAGGTGATGAGGCACTGATCCGACACGCGAACACGGGTGCAGATCTCAGAAGTACTTCCGGCTCCCCATGTGTCTGTGCTGGAGAGGGCGGGTCGAAGCAGTGTGTCTTGCACTTGGAGTGGGGAGGTTTGGATGGCTCTTGGGGGAGGTTGACCTTCACCGCTCTCTCACCTCAACCCACTCTGCATCTCTCTGCACCTTAGCCTCTCTTGGCAACACCATCTCTCTCACATCCCTAACCCTAATGCACCTGGATACCTCCCCTTTAAGGGCAGTGTTTCTGACTGCCAGGCTTTTATTTGTGTAGCTGTGTCATGCTGCCTCGGTGGCCAGCAGAGGAACTGCAGCCCTGGGGAAGGAGCCCTGGGAGCCCAGGCCAATGGAGGAGACCAGGATAGCTGTCAGTGGTTCTGATGGCAGAAGCCCTGCACCGGTTTAAGACCGAGCTAAGTCCCAAAGGGGCTGTGTGTTTTCCCTGCTGTCGTGTCTCTGTTGACGGGTTTTCTGGGCAGTTCAGAGGCTGGCACTTGGAACCAGACAATGTCTCTCAATGCCCGCCCAGATCTGTGTTTACAAAGCGCCCCCGTCTCCGGGCCATTCTGCGTCGTACTTCCTAAGGCTGTAGGCTTTTTCTGGCTCCTCTTATATTTCACTCAATAAGTGCCCGGCACTCGTCTCTTCTGAGCCTGGCTCACACAGTTCAGTCTCTTGAGGGCTGGGTCTAATTGGGTCTAATTCTGGTGGATGGTCTTGTTACGGGGCGGCTGGGTGCTGTTAGTGGCCCATGGTGGACCATTCTGGGCCTTAAAGCCCGTGTCTCTGTCTGTGCCCAACTACAGCCCATATCTGAGGCCTGGTCTACCTGCAGAGATATGTCGGTGCAAGGCAGCTCATGTCGACCGAACCATGGAAGCGTCTGCATTTAAATTTCTCTCCCACCGGAGTAACCACCCCGCTATGCTGCCGTAATGACTCCACATCCTCGAATGGCGTAGAGTCAAGGGTGACGTAGTTAGGTCGACGCAGTGTCAGTGTAGACACGGCATCGCTTATGTCTACTGTTCCTGGCTTTCAGGAGCTGTCCCAGCAATGCCCCGTGCTGACACAACAATCGGTGCAAGCTCTCCTGATGAGGACTCGAACCGCCAACACAGAGAGCAAAGCATAGACATGCACCAATGCTGTAATTTCTGCGGTGGCTGTATGCTGATGTAAGACAGGCATTGTGTAGTGTAGATGTGGCCTGATGAAACCATACACTGATGTTTCCCTTATTTGTTACCCAGTGTGTCAAGCAGGTAGAGATCCCTCCCTCTTCGCTGCACCACATGGAAATAATGTTAGTTCCACCCCACTTTGGTTCCAGGCTCGGTCGTTGCTTGGCTTCCTCCCCCTCGCACTTCCTGGAGCGAAACCACCTGGTCTGAGTAGGAAACATCCACTCTTTAAAATGAAACCAGCATTATTGTCTTATGCAGAGCAATGGCCGTTAACTGAACAGAGAATGAAGGGAAGGCAGCTGAGAAAGGAACAGGGGAGGGGAATAAAGCATTAAAACAATGATTAGTTAACATGGGTGTGAGTGCTGCCCCCTGCTGGAGGAAAGTTGACCTGCTCTGTGTGTGTGTGTCCCTGCTGCCCCCTGCTGGAGGGGATGATCCCCGTCGGGTTGGAGTGGGCGCTGGGGGTGGGGATCTGACTCCTTTCTCTCTCAGAAATTCTGTGGGTCACCTCAGATGTGGTACAATGCAGTATTTCAGCGGGTCTCAAGCCCCAGCACGGACAGGAATGAAGGGCCAGATGGTTGCATCGCTCTGTCGGCATTGAAGGCTCCAAACAGCGACGATTCCTGGGCAGCCGAATCCACCATGGACATCTGCCCCCACGCAGGGGCTGAGAGCTCTATCGTGGCTGCAGGGGTCTTGGCAGGACCCTACAATTCATAGGGGGACCCTAAATCTTGGGAAGGGGGTAAGGGGGCAGGAGGTTGACACTGGAAATCAGAAGCAGATGGTTGAGTTGGAGGGAGGGTATGAAGTGGGGTTCAGTGGATGGGGAGGAGATTGGGGTGTAATGGGTGAGATGTAGAATCGCTGTCGAGATGCTGGGTTAGGTGGTGGGAGTCCAAAGGGTGGTTACAAAAGATGATCTGGGGGTGACAAATGTTTGTCAGGGTAGCTGGGGGTCTTGGGGGGAGTCCAGCTGTTCAAGGGGCTGGGGGAGCAGCAGTGAAAGGTTTAATGATTTGGCTGGGCGAGGGGCAGGTTAGTAGAGCTGGCCGGGAATTTTTCAAAACAAGCACATTTCCGTGGGAAAGTGCCGATTCAACAAAACAGAAACGTGTTGTGGAAACCCATCAGCTGCAAGGCAAGTTTCACTGGGAGCGGACCTCAGGCATGGGAGGGAATCCGGGGTCACAAAGAAGTTCAACGCAAGGTTCAATGGCCTTGCTCCTAATCAAGCGGAGCTGAGATTTAAATCTGCATCTCCCAGATCATGGGTCTAACCCCTGTCCCCCAGGCTCTGATCTCATCTGCTGGGGGTTATTCCACTTTGTACAGCTAATAGTCATTGGCAGGTGGTTGGAGATAATAGGTTCAACTCTTTCTTCTGCTTTGGAGGACGTGGCTATCCCATACCCGGGCAGGTGCTCTAACCACCGGGCGGCTGGGCTCTTTGGGGTGGATTTTGACAGCTCTAGTTTTCACTTTGAGGAGAAGTGAAACCAAGTGTCAAAACCTCCAACCGTCTGGTGAACGGGAATTCCTGTTTTCCCACCAGCACTCCAAAAACACCCCCTCTCTTCGCTGAGCATCTCACTGGAGGTGTTGAGATGGCACCTCGGTATACATGGCCCCGTCCACTCCCGCCGGCTTCCATTCGTTCACTACCGATGGCGCTGGAGGGGCAGTGGAGCTGGGCATGGGGATGATTGTGTAGGTGACGGCAGAGTCCTGGAGCGGGAGAGAGACATGGTGAGTGGGCAGGAAACAGAG